CTCAATTAGATGCAACTCATTTAGCCTCCACTCGCATTTGGCCGCCATTTGTGTGCACAAAATGTTAATCAAAGCCTGATGGGATTTTTTAGGCCAACTAATGATGCCATGCTGTGTGTGTGTGCTGGCAGGCGGTGGGGAGTTATGTTGCGGCTGGTTCTGTGGGTGGCACAGACATATTGATGACAGTCACTCAATTAATATGCAAAATTTATGCATGGGAAAGTTCAAAACAAACAAACCAACCATAACCCCAGCCACACACAGAGTTATAAAACATACATGTCGGCGTGAAAAGAACAAAAAAATAAAAAATAAAAATGAAAACGAGGGGAAAGCATGCCCAATAAAAAATCAATACAAATTAGCAGCAAGCTCACTTTATTTTGTTTTTGTCCATGGAATTGAGTTGTTGTCACTGTTGCGTTTGTGCCCCATAATCCGATGTAAGTCCCTCAAAGAGGGTTCTCCATTGCGTTGGCCAGCTTATGTACATGCGTGTCATTTGTGACACCTATTAAACTATCAGGTGTGTTTTGTAGAGCTTCGGAGGAGAATGGAATTTTAGATGCTTTACATTAAGAATTATGAGGAATTATCTTTACAAAACTTATAAGACATGATGGTAACAAAATGTTAGAAAAGAGACTTTAGGTAATGTTATTTCAAGTACAACTAATATACTTCTTGGGGCTCTGATCAAATTTTAACCTGTAAGGGTATACAATCTCTGGCTTTCTTAGCTTCCTTGCTTGATTTAAATAATATCTATTAATTTAACAAATTATTTAAAGCATTTACTTAATCTTACTTTATTATTAATTTATGTAAATTTGTAATATTTCAACAATCTCTGATACCCTTGAAATCCTACTCTTTGTTGGCAAACTGTTAAACAAAATTAAGTAATCCTAGTGGCCAGCATTCGAATTAAAAAGTTTATTTAAATAAAAGTTGACTGTGACCACGAGGCAGAACACATGTGTTGCACATTGCAATTAAATCGCTGGTTGGCAAGGTCCTGCGATGTCCTGTCCTGCGCCTGGCATGAAGGGTTGCGTGCTGCATTTGATGGCTGGGCTGATGGAAAAGTTGTAGCGACCAAATTATTTGGCAGAATACAAGGCCAGGTCAGGAGGAGGTCGTAGAAGGCGAAACGCACAGCGGGCCAGTGCAAAAGTTTGCAGCTCCGTGAGGATGCTGATGAAGATGGGGGGTACGAGATCTCAGCGCAACAATAGTTTGCATCTCGGAGATACCCGAGATGATGTTATGCTGCTCCTTTGGCCTCGTCGTGTTTTCCTGTTATTCTAGCTTCTGGCTTGCCGCAATCAACTGCACTGCATGTTGCGGTTCCTCGAACAACTCGTGGTGCTCGTGTGCGTAAGTGTGGGTGTGTATCTAATCACATTAGCACGTGCGCATATCCTTTTAAAGGAGCTACCGGGGGCGCAGTCCATCTGACTCCCCAGGCTGCCATTCAGAGCCGGGAGACGACTGTGCAAACTAAAAACATTTTGGCCGCTTTGTTTTTGGCTCATTTCGTTTGTCGATTTTGATTATTTGTCTGTGGCTGCCCGCACAGCACACACAGCACAGACTTTTGTTTTTGCCAGTCCCCCCCAACTATTTGTATCTCAAAGTTGGCCCACACACGTATTCCATATGCGAATGCCAGCTATTTTCTTTGTGCACTTCAAAGTTTTCCACAAAGGCGAAATAATTTTGCCCCCTTTCCATCTTGGTTTTGAATTTAAAACCGGAATGATCCGATATTCTTATGCGTGCAAACGAATTTCACCCAGATCTCTAACCCATAACTGGTCACTAAAATCATCAAAACTCAATAGATTTTTTTTAAATGCAAGCAAATATTGTATTTATTTTTAGGCATGCGCTTAAACAAGCAAAGAACCATGAAAAGTTCTCAACAAAGTACTCTTTAAATTTTGGTTTTGCGGCTTTAAATCTCAAGGGTTAGTGAAGCAAGCTACTTTTGTATACATAAACTGTATATTTTTAGCCCGTAGGCAGCATTGTATTTTGTGTCGCAGGTACAACCATTTACTCGGCCTTCACTGGCACATAGGTAAGGATAATGGTCGAGTGCGGGGCCACCTTGAGCTCCTTGAGATTCACCTTGGCCGAGTGGGCCACCTTAACGGAGTCCTCGTGGTTGTTGTAGTGCTCGCTAAAGTAAGAGATGGTCATCTTGTCGGGCAGATCCGCCGGGCCGGTGAAGTTGCTCGACTGCGGCACCTCGGTGGGATTGAAGATGACAAAGTAGCCGGGGTTTCCAGACTTGATTCTGAGGAGAAGGAAAAAATAATTCAATTAGATAACAAATACATTTTATAAAATGCAAATAATGAAAATTAAATAGTAAACTATATTAGTTTGTTAATATTTTTACCTCTGCCTTCAAAGGGCAAGCATGAAGAAGTGGACAACAATTAGTTTTATTTAAAATTAGAAGATCAAAAGCACAAATTACCTGGAGAAGGCCACCAGAGGATCGGCATTGAAGAGGGTCAGCTCGCCGTGCATGTAGGATGCCGATTTGCGCAGCATCTCAATCTGCCTGTAGGTCTCCTCAGTCACATTTGTGTACTCTACGGCATCCACAGGAACCACTGGCACACCGGGCAGCAGGGAAAGGAACATGGCCAGGGCAGAGGGATCCTGTGGAGTGTCCACAAAGACGTCTGCAAAGTTCCATTGCAACCAGCTGTCGTTGCCCGCCTGGAACAACGTGTTCTCGAGATTGCTCTTCAGCGACTTCTCCGGCTTCGACTTGCTGAGCACCTTCACAAAGTCACCGTACATGGGCAGATCAATGCCATTGGCTCCGGGCACATCGCTCAATTGATAGACCTGCGGCTGGATCACATCCTCGGCCACGGATAAGAAGGCCTCATCGGAGGCGTTCTTTACAATGCTCAGGTAATCATAGAGGACATCTCCCAGGCCGGACGGGAAAGTGGTCTGTTTGTGGTCGTAGAATCCATAGTCTCCCTCTCCCAGGTTAAAGTCCTTGGGCACTGACGATGGCTCCTCTTCCTCCAATTTGTCGGAAAGCACAAAGAACTTGGTATTCTTCAGACGGATGCCCTGGACGCCCAGGCCAATCAAGTGGCGCAAGACTCCACCAAATTCGTTCCTGATTATAGTACTGTTCATCTTGAGGTCGTAGTGACCCTCCTCAAACTGGGAAAGCAGGTAGCTGTCGTCCAGCTTCTCCCAGGCGCTGCGATTGCCTCCCACCTTCAGCCACTTGGTGGGAGCACTGGTCTTTCCGCTCACCCAGACCAAAGCAGAGCGCTTCTCCGGATCGGCAATGGCATCCTGCACCAACTGTGAGTCCTTGGGGACATAGTTGGGCGTCAGATCGAGAATCACCTTGGTGTCACTGCCCACATACTGGGCCACCAGTCGCTTGATCTGCTCCTCAACCTCGGGCTTCTTAACGCTGTATGTCAGCTCGGCGGGCAACTCGTAGATGGCTCCTGTGGCATGGATCTTCTTGGCTGTTTGCACATCTTGCGGTTTGGCAGCCTCGATTTGGGCAAACTTGGCATGCGGTCCGCGCTTATACCAGGCCAGAGGCTGGGGGGCAGCGCACTTGGGGGCTCCGATGATGATCAGAACGGCACCCACCAGCATGCCCACCCAAATGGCCCAGAAGCCCACAAAGAAGATCCAGCGCAAACGCACCCAGAAGGGATCGTTGGCATACTTCATGAGCTCCTCCTTGCTCATGCCAGTGAAGGCCTGTCATTGGGGAAAAAGCCATACGTTAGAGGAACTCGTTAAACTAAATTATTTTCCTATTTTAAGATTATAATTAATTAATTGTACTTACAGGCTTGCCTCCGTTCACGGGTCCAATATCGATTTTGGCATCGCCATTCTGGTGATCGTTCTTAATGAACTTCACCTCATCCCTGCGCTCCGCCAGCTTGTCTTCCGCTCCGTTGAGCATCTGCTCGTCGGCTCCGTTCTCATCCTGGACCATGTCGACTGGAATGTGAACGATTTAACATTGGTTAATTGACTCTAATCAGTTTCAATTAAGCTCGTGCCGGAGCTTTACCCAAGCGATCAGGCGAGACTTTCTCCCGAGCACAGCTTTTTGCAGGTTAAGGCGAAAGAGAAGCCAAGCCACATTGAATGTGTGTGTACCTTTTACTGGGAAGTGAAGGGTGGAAACTCCCTATTTTTCATCTGGGATTTTTGCTTGCTGACGTCACTGGGAAGCAGCAGCAGACTTTGCGTTTGCGCCTCATGGAAAAATCGACCTGTGGCTTGCTTTTTGCTCTGATAGCAAAAAAAAATCAATAGCAGCCTCCGGGCTTGGCTTTCTGTACATTTTTCTTATCTATCTCTCCGCTGATAAGGCACTCCCAGAGGCACAACGAGATATTGTATCTATATCTTAAATATAGATACATATATCTAGGTTCTTTCCAGTGCAAAACCCACGCATTGTTACGTCAGCTCTCTCCCATTTTTCCAACTTATGCCATTTGCTTTGTTTAATTACCTTTTTCGGGGCTCGGATTTCCTCCCAGAAACTTGTCCTCAGCTATGGTTTTGTAGACCTCGGGGGGATCGGCGGTGTTTGGAGCAGCTGCTTTGATTGTACTATCGGTCGCGTCTAAAATAGATTACGTTAATTTGCGAGATGAACACGTTGAAAAATTCTATACGATTAAACAGAGTTTTCGAAAGAATTTTTATTTTAAGAGTGCTGTGTGACCGTTAGGTGTTTAGCTTAAAAGACCAGAAGTCAAGCGGAACCCACTGCAGCTGGTCACACTTACATGAACAGGACGTTATAGAACTACGTAAGGGAACAAAACCTTACGTGAAAAAATTGTTAAAAAATACACAAAAATAATTAAATATATATATTAAATCTGCCATATGGGTAAAGAAAAAACATTTAACATCATTGTGAATTAACATATCCAAAAATTATTCTTTACAATGCTCACTCTCAAAAGCCAAATGATATAAAATCGCTTGGCGCGAAATTTAATCTGAAAACAACTTACCAGTAACAGGCAAAGTCACGGAATTCTGCAATACAGATATTAATAAAACAAAAGATTGTCTGCATTTAGTTTCACTTACCTTGCTGGCAGCATGGCCCAAGCGTTTTAAGCGTGAAAACAAATTCATGGTCACCACTTTCTCTTGGAGGTTTCTTTACTTCAGATTAAAAGTTTTTCACGTAGCTGCAAATAATAAAATACTTTGAAGTTTCTCTAAAAAATTTAGGTTTTAGATTATTTTTGTATTATATTTATTTATTTTATTAAAATCCTATTGCGAGAAGGGCGTCCTTATACTTATTTGCATTAGTCAAAATTGTTTTTAAATTAATTTTGGTTTGATTTATGCATACACATATATTGATTTGTTTGTAATATAATTAAATTTTAATAAAAACAATATTTTTTATGTTTATGTAGACCCTTTAAGAACCTAGCACAACTCATTTTAATATGCTTAACAGTTTTTAAAAATTTTAAGCCTTATTGTCACATACTTTTTGTGAAATCAAAACTGTGTATAAATTATAAACAATTTAAGCGTCATTTCTATTATTTTTCGAGTTTTAATACTTTAATACTTCAACTACTTTCTAATATAAACTTTTTAAGTAAATTCTTCAACGTTCAAACGTTCCTTTCCAAACGTGACAAAGCTGATGCAATAACACTAAAGCATTCCTTATATTTTTCACCTTATCTTAAGCACTTTTCACTGAGGCTTTTTGCCAGTTTCACCATCAATCTTTCACGGAGATACACCCGGCAAGAGGTCTGAATTAAGACTGACGCTGCAGTACTGCAGCGCCTGCAGTCCATCGCTCCCAGAGGCACTGCCTCGATCGCGATCGCGATCGCTCCTCGAATTTGATTTAATTATACTGTACATGCCCGCGTCGTGTGCGTAAATGCGATGTATGGCCTGCAGCGAGCCAAACCGATCCCCGCCAAGCCCAAAAACTACCTGTCCGCGGCGGCTTACCTGTACTGTCGTCGCTGGCCAAAGTGCCGAGTTGACCAAGCCAGTTTCTGGCCAGCCAGCAGACAAGATACCGGAGACCGGGCAAAAACTGCACTCGTCGGCACATTCCTGGCGAAAATGTGCAGCGTCGTCTGGCGATTCCGCAAGGTTGTCGGCCAGAACAGAAAATTAGTGAAGCTCAACGCACAAAAAATTGATCAATTTTGGACCCCATATTACCTGTTCTGGAGTCCGATTATGTGACATGCAAGGGTCATTAGCTCATTAAGCGGGAGCTATATATGAAGCAGCCCGGGACCTGCACCCACAACTTGACGCGATGGGTTTCCATGTGGGACGACAGTTGCTGCTCTCGGGCTTCCTGCTGGTGCTACTCCAGGTGCTCAGCCAAACGCAGGCCAGGCCTCAGGTGATTAATAAATAAGAGGTGAATCGAGATTTGAATAATTTAACCCATTGCCAGGATGTGATTACTGGCGAGGAAACGGAGGTGGTGGTAAAGCAAGAAGGCGGTGATGGAGATGACGATGACTCCTCCTCGGAGGAGACGGTAGAGGACTCGGAGGAAACCCGTCGACGACGACGCGAGGTGGACTCGGACAACCTTCCTTCGGCTCGGGCGGGCATTCCAGGTTTGCCAGATCCGGCTACCATTATTAAGATCGCTGAGCTTTTTCAATCCGTAGGAGAACAAGTAGTCCCGATCCTGTTGCAAGCAGTACTACCGGGCTCGGAGGCCACCGGTGACCGTTTTGCCAGGTCCGTAAACTTCCTGGAGAACCTGGAGACCGCACCTGAAGGATTCGCCACTGAGAAGAATGAATAATCAGCGGGTTAGAGGGATGAATATATCCGGGCTGAAGAAGCTAAGCCGGAACACTAGTAACATAGATTTAAACTTAGACTACTTTCCCTTGAGATAAATTTTGGTTGCTTGAGCTGAAACTGAATTGAATTTATTTAATTTTTTAATGTGGATTTAGTATATTGAACGAAAAAATCTCCAAAACACAGCACAAGACAGACAAGAATCACTAATGAAAAGTATTTTCTTCAACGAATTTATTCAACGATTGATACCAAAAGTATATTTTCTGAATCTTACACCTGTGACTTAAAGTATCAACGTCTGAAATGCGTTAATAGGAGCCTTGAGCGTAACCCAAAATACCTCAATATTCCTTGAGCAGCCAGAAGTTCATGCAACCTTTGGGGTATGTGATCGGAAGCAGGGCATTAACTCCTAATGAAATAATTATGTATGGGGAGCGTCCCTCTGTGCTGCTATCCTGTTTTCAACAAAGTATGAAATAATTTGCATAAATTGACGGCATTAAAGGATTCTTCTGTCTTGGTTTCTCAAAATACCGACAGAATATGTATGCCCATTAGTCATAATGGGCCTACACGCCCTACGAGGGTTTCAATAACCCCAGGCTTTCAGACTGTTTTTCAAAAGATTCTCTGGGGTGTAACTTTTTAATATCAGTTGATTGCAACGTTAGTTGAAAGCGATTTAAAAATATCCCTTATCTTGGGGATTTTCACAGAATCTCAGGTGTACTGATGTATGAAAACTAATAAGAAAATGCAAGAAATTATTGGACATTTTCTAGGAGAAGTAAAAAATGTGGAATAGATTTTTACTCTTGAGGTTTACAATTTTAACTGAGATCTGTTGGGCATATTTATAACAAAAATACAAATAAAAAAGTACAGTCTTATGTGATTTGTTGTAAAAAACCCAAGCAAATCTTTAACTTCCTCCGTTCTTCTATTATATTTATGCTGAGAACATGATCTTTAGTATATTAACAATTTTCATGTTGATCTCAAAGATAAGTTGCCCTATTTTATAAATATATTGGAAAGATTTTAGTTTCTGTTGGTTATATTTATTTTAAATTGATAAATATTTTATTACTGCTGTCATATCCCAATTACCATTGGTAACTTCTTTTATTTAATTGATTTATTTCTTGTTAGCTCTTCATCAAAAAAATATTAAGAAAATGTATCCGTTTTATGTTTTCAGTGTAACACGATTGTTGTTCAGAGTGGCGCCGCTAGCGGGCAAGCTGGGGAAACATATATAAGCCCGATGTAAAATGTCAGATTTATGTATAACATTTTACTCCCTTATCTTAAGCGAAGAGAAGAGTAAAACAAGGGAAGGGAAGAGAGGAGTAGCTCAGTCGAACAGGTGCCCAATGACTCTCTTAAGACTTCAGTTGTTTTAGTTTTAAAAGTCAAAGAGTTGGGTTTCTTTATCGGTATTGTACCAGGTATGTCAATTAAGGCATTTCCAACTATCCTTATTAAGAAAAATACATAGCTTTAAGGCTACAAGAGCAAGAGCTACTTCTCAGGGACTACATATAAGAACTTGAGCTACTCCATTTGGAGACAAAGTTCTTAACATTTGCAGGTCAATCAAGTTAATGTTAAAACTTGGACCTCGAATAAAATGTAAAATAAAGATTAAGCCTGGAATTTCGTAAATGTCTATATAATAAATATTTTTTTTAAGCTTATTTTCTCTGTGAATTGAAGTATCATTAGAGTGCTAATTTAGCACCAACCATATAGCTTATTGCCTTAAATGGTTAGTTGAGTCTCTACATCAAACTGCCACATAATTAAAAATCTTTTAATGTTTTTGATTGTAAATTTATAACTTTTATTTAATGATGTGCCCAACAGACCATTTAGGGCATGCATTGGGTCTAGGTAACTCTAAGTACTCTTGCTTTTTTATTTTTGTTTTGTTATATAAAAACCAATTAGCCAAATATATATATTAACCACTTGAAGTAACATTGACTATGACCCTCGTTATGCTCCATGAGGCAGTTGCAGTACAAGCGTTGGGTGATCGTAGGTTTCATGGTCTTCACTTCACCCTTGGTGGCCATATAGCTTGCTTCGTTGCCTTGCTTTTGAATTACCATATATATCCTTTTGTAAAAACCTCTTAGACTATATAAATTCTCCAACAAAATATCCTCAAAAACCACACCTGTAACTAGGTTTAATCTCGAATTTATTTATAAAATAAAAACACATTTCCTTTTGTTTAAAAAACAATCCATCGACAGAATAAACACGTATTAAAAGTGCCGCTTGCATTACCAAAAAATACAAAAGTACAGAGCGATAGTTACAAAAAGCGGAGTACCAGACGGGATGTGGACTCGCAAGTCCTTTGTCCCGTCCCGTAAGAATATATCATAAGGCACTAAATTCTATGTACATGCACATGTATGAAAAGGGATGTATAGAAATAGTTTCAGCTGGAGTATACAGGATATAGAATATAGTTATGAGTATGGGTATATTTTGGAGAATGAAGATTTGCCAGCAATTTGTGGTGACCCTCTCGTGGATGTCCGTGAAATGATGTTCTTGCTCCTTTCCTTTTTCTTTAATTGTTCTTGATTGCGAATTCGATTTGGCTTAGATGTAGGCTTTGACTCCCTATGCTTACGTTTAATTTAAATGTACGGTAATTTAATTGGTAGCGTAATTAATTTATGCTTATGTGTGTTTCATGTTTGGCTGGCTGGCTGGTTGGCTGTGGCTGGCATCCCCCATCCCGATCAGGGCCTCACTTGTTGCCGGCGTTCACGACGACGCGCTGTCTCGCCGTAGATTGGGAGTTCAGAGCCGGATTGCACATCTCCGTGGTGAACTTGGAGAAGGTGTTGTGGAAGCCATTCGCCTGGCCATTGCGGGTGGGCGTCGTCGTCACATCGCCATCCTTGAGGGCCTTGGCATGTCCATTGGCATGTCCGTTTGCCTTGACCGCCGATTTGTCCTACAAAAGCGGAGTTATATATTAAATTAATTTCTACAATACAAATCCCATTAATTTTTAGAGACTTACCTTGCCCTCGCGCTTCACATAGGCCCTCTTGTAGAAGTTGGAGAAAAGGAAGTAGAACATCACCGCATGGGCGCCGATGAAGTAGGCAAAGCCAATCGGGTAGTTGCAGTCGTTCTTGAAGAACAGCTGGAAGGAGTGCACCATCACCAGGACAAACTGGATCATCTGCAGCACAGTGAGGTACTTCTTCCACCAGAGATAGCGCTGCACCTTGGGACCCATGGCGGCCAGCATGTAGTAGGCGTACATGATGATGTGCACGAAGGTGTTCAGGAAGCCAAAGAAGGTCGAGTGGCCGCCGGGCGTGAACTTGACGCCCCACCAAACGGACACAGGCATGATGCCGTGATGGATCACATGCAGGGTGGACACCTGGTCATATCGCTTGCGCATCACAAAGAAGAAGGTGTCGAAGAACTCGGTGAACTTGGAGAAGTAGTACCACCAGCAGCCCTCGGCGGTCTAAAGAATTAAAGCAAAAATATATATAAAATAATGTCTATTGTATAAAATATTTTTAGCCTACTTATTAATGATTTTTATTACATAAAATACCAGTTATATAAAGTCATTTAAATATGCTGTAAAGTTCAACAAATTATACTCATAAAAATTCATATTTCGACTAGATTGTTAACTAATTGCATATAATGATAGGCTTCCAGTTCTAAGAATAAACTAAGCTCAACTAATGAATAAAAAAATGCAAGAATGTAAAAAAAATCTAGATTAAATAATTACTTAATTAATAAGTGCACAAGCAACAGGCTTACTTTCTTTAATCTCTGTTTGCTAAACTTTCTTATCTCTAATCCAATTTTTGTGAATTTCCGTTAAATGATATATAATAATAAAATCTATGCTTTGCCAATATTTCATTGGCTCATTGTTATGCTAAGAAAAAGACCGTAGCTCTCGCAGATCAATTCCGTTTGCCCTGGAACTAACGGTTGGACAGAGCTCCATGCTTATCAATAATACAGAAAATGGGTGATTTGCCAAATCTTTTGCCTGTCAACTTTCTAAGACTGCCACTTTCTTTGGGTCGTTTACCCACTTTAGCCAGCCTGGCGACACACGTGAGGCTGGGCTCTTGGCTAGCAGAAGCAGGCTTATGGTTGGCGATCCCTCATTCAGCGAGATCCACCGGCTTCTGCCGGCTTTCGGCATTTCATTTCATCCATTTCTTTGCCATTTTGCGATTAGCATAGAAGAAGAACCTGTCGCTTTTGCCGTTCTTAATAATTTCTTGTCTCGGCGTGGCCACAAACTGGTTGCTTACATAAAATCTGGCCCAGTCAACAAAAGACCTTTGCTATTTGCCAACAAAAAATCTAAATTTATATATATGTATATGTTTGTCTATACAAACACACATTTTCGCTTAGCATATAATGAAGAGGGGTTCCAGATCTATACTTACACGTATCGCTTTGGGCGAGTAGGAATAATCAACGGGTTCGCATCTAAAGTTATAGCCATTCAGCCATCCACCCAAGCAGGACTATTAGGGCGAGAGAGAGAGAGAAGCGTGTTTATGTTTCATTGGAATTCGGTAATTAAATGGTTTATTATTACCTCGTAAAAGAGCCAGGCACTGAAGACAACCTGCAACGCATTGTAGACGATCAAGACTTTGCGCAGCTCGAAGGGCTTTCTGTTTTCCATGAGCTTCGGGCCGAGTACCTGGAATGGCGAGAGAGAGAAAGAGATGATCAGTCAGTCCCACTGTAATTGCATCCTCTTCACTCTGGGATCGCTGTCTCCCATTTAACATAATCAAATAGAGGCCAAAGCCGGTGTTGCAGCAATTATCAAATCAAATCAATCGACAGCGACCGACTTTGTCTGTTGGTTTTGTGACAAGTTCGTTGCCTAAGTCTTTTGTTTGGCCAACCCAGCCAGGCCACCCCCCCCCGCACGCCCCGCACGACCCGCACTCCCCCAACCCGTGGTCGCATCGCGCTCGATTTTAGCAGTCATGTGAAAGTAAGTTAAATGCTTTTGTAAAATTATGAATGTGAACCAATGCAAAGCGGGAAACCTAAATAGAAATCGTTTTTCGAATTGATTTTTTCTTCTCCTCTTGTTTTTTTTTTTTTTTAATTTTTGCATAATCGCTGTCTGCTCTCAGGTCATATTTCGACACCCAGCCAGTCTGGTCGAGATGATCGTCGCACAAATCGAATGGCCCTGAACCTCATCTCTTGTTTCGCAGTCATTTTGCCAGGCAATAAACGGAAACTAGTTTGTGCAAAGGATTCAGAGGGACACTCCCGTATAATCAGTGAATCAGCCTACGAAAACAACATAAATTGAACCCTCAGAATGATTCTGTTTTCGTTCGATTTCCAGCTTTAGTAATTATAGATCCCCCGGTGGATCCCCAATCCCAGACTTACCTTCACAATGTACGCGTATGTCAAGCTGATGGCTATCGTGGGGAACGGTGAGCTCATGAGCGGGTAGTCTCGTGTTCGCGGATCCGATTTGTTGTCCATCAGATCCCGCCAGCCATCGTAGAAGTTTGTGAGGTACTCCTGCAAAGAAACGAAACCAGATTAATCAGCTGTGCTAGTTGGCTAGTTAGCGAGATCAAGTGTCAAATCAATATATTACTATGTAGTAGCAACACAATGTTGCAACAAACGTAGGCATAGAGTGCACCAGGGCGGACAGCTGATGGATTATAAGCATTCAGCTGTTGGCTCTGGGTTTTTGGGTTTTTATTTTTGATTTTTTAAAGATTTTAATTAAAGTCTCCCTCTCGAATCAATCACTTGGTGTGGCAATATAACCGAATAACAAAGGATACCCGAAAAACCCAAAACCATATTCTTTGCGAATTTCCGTATGGGGCTCCGTGATTTTCTATCATATTTGTGTGAACGGTAATTTCCAATTGTCCATTAGCATTCAGCGGTGCCAGCCGCAAAAGCATCAAAATATAAATCGCTGCTGCTGGCGATGTTGCAACGCGGAATGGCCTCTTGTGTTGTCTTGTGTGATAAATAACAAAACAAAACAATCTAGAAACGACTGACCGACTGACTGACTGACTGACTGACTGACTGGCTAAGAAGCGGCGAGGAATGCGGGGGATGCCAGGAAAAGCTAAACCAGTTCCGCGAGTGTTAATCGCCGCTTAAATAGTTAAATACCTGACTGACGGCAATTAAAGAAAACAACGCTACTCTTAATTGCAGCGAGGGTTGCAGCCGATTTCACGGAGGGGTTAGGGTTAACTTAATTGATTTGAACGAATCAGGGGCGTATGTGCGGACAGCGGAATGTCAAGGGAAATATGCGATTTGGAAAGCGGCCAATTAGACCAGCATAACTCATTTATTAAATTAAATTGTAGTCATTAACAGGTGAGTAAAGGAAAAAAAAGAAACAATCTGGTTCTGCATTAGGTCTTTTCCTGGCCAAGTTGTAGCCGTAATTAAGGAAATATTTCAAGCAGCGCCAATGCAGAATAAAGCTAATAATTAAAGTTGCAACAAAGGTCTTTTAACAGAAATAATAGGGTTACATAGCCATGTCCTCATTTGGGTTTCCGCAGGGGAACTATAATCGTCACAGTTCATTTGAAAACCCAAGGAAGTGGAAATCAACTCAGGGCTGATAAGAGAAAATGCTTACTTTAAGTACAATTAATAGTCAAATGGGTAAGCTTTTTCTTTCTTATAAAACTGATTTTTATGAGTTTAATACAGGATATTATTTTGTGTTTCTCTGAAAAGAAATTTCCTCAAATTTAAAGTTTTTTGGCCTGGCCTATTCAAAAATAATAATACAACTTAAAAACAATTGCCTTGTGTATGAATACAATTCCAATTTTGGGGCACTTACTTTGGAAGCGTTATGTCGATCGAATTGTATGTAATTTTCTCCGAATTACGGAAAATGGAAAATGGTTATTTTCAAGCAGTTAATCTAATTCATTCTCAGCCTGCCCCGAAGCGTTTACATTTTGCATAACACCTTACAACAAGCTCAAGCCCCCGAAATGTCTTAACTACGCCTCTGGTCACAGGCTGCTCATCCATCATTCTCGGCTGAGCTGGAAGGCTACTGAGTTGTCCCAACGGAGCACGTCCAACAAGACATTCAAACAGGTACTGTCACTGGAAACAATGCTCATTTGTCGCCTGGCCAGACCTAAGTACGTCAGCAATCATGCAGGAGGAGTAGCTCCAGCACAGGTGGTTGTGGAAGCAGGCTGATCGAGCGTTGAAAGCCCCGTCATGCCGTTTGTTCATTAATGAACCGAGTCTGCCATTAGGTGAACTTACTGACCGACTGGCGGCCACACTGTTGTATGTTGTCTGCTGTCTACTGTCTGCTGTGTGTGGTGGGTGTGGTCCACGTTGGACGTAATGAGTGTGTGTAATTGCTGGCTTATGGGGAGAACCGCAGCGTTAACCAAACAATTTCCCTTTGGGTTGCAAGATTTATGGAAATTTTAGCCACTCGAGAGTGACTGGCAAATTTTTCTATTACACATCTGATGTAATTCGGGAATATATTTTAATACTCTCCGGCGCAGTCAGTGAAGCGTCTTGAAACGAACTTTGTCCACTCTCCACGGTCACCATGTTGATGATTCATAGGTGAATAATATGAGGTCTAGCCCAGAAATAAAAAAAAGACAGAGACAGTCCGGTCTCCGGAAGAGACAGCTTCCCATCTCAACTATGTCGCTGTTGATTGCATCTAATTAAGATTCACTTTTCGAGAGAGTTTGGGCCACAGATTTTCACTTTTTTAGGTGCGTGCTAGTTAATTGAATTTAAGAAAAGAGCGGAAAACCCAAGGAAAGTACAAAGATAAGTAGTAAATTTACTTAAAAGTTAATAAAGGAAAATTTTAAAATTATAATTTTACTTCTACCTATTTATCTCTGCAAAATTATTTAATACTCTGCAAACATTTATATTTATTTTCATTCGAAAAGCTCTTAAATTTCACAATAAACACTTTAGCTATAATAAAAAACAACTTGTAAACATGTTTATTACTTCAAGATAATTATACAATTAAAGAAGTAATGACTAACTAGGCAATTTTCTTGAGAAGTAAAAGTTATATTTAGTATTCTTATTATTTAGTGATTGGTATTTTCTTGTATACAGACTTTTTTTTTATTATTTTTATATATTTAATTGATTTGTTTAATTAAAACCCAGCCAATTTCTAGCTTCTTAAGCTTTACTTTTCTACATTTAATTCATCTTTAAAATACTTTAAAATCTTTCTTAAATGTTTAACCAAATGTTATATACTTTTCCCTCTGTACCTTCGTTACTAGGCCTTTGCCTCGACCTTGTTAGCATTCACCTGCTTCCGGTACTGCATTATTTTTTAGGTAATTTCCAGGCTTTCTCGCTCGACTGAAAGGCGAGGCATGTGTAGGTGAGGTTCAAGTGTTTGTTTTCCCGATTATGGCACCAACAGCACTGTTAGCACTTATTAAGCAATTTGCATTGCACCTTTCCTGGCCCACACTGACGTAGGTCAGCAACAAGTGTTTTAATTTCTCATATCTTATGGCATTTGATTAAGGAAATTTACTAGCGATGAGCGTCATAAAACCCGTTTTCTCACACTATCTGGGTGAGATCTATTAAGATGAAAATAGTATGTACTTAACACGCATTATAGTGCAGTTTAAGTTGGACAAAGTGCAATTAAATTTAATTGTCTGTCGCCGTCTGAGCAGGTATTTTTTGCTTAAACCACTCAAAAAAAGCTGTTAATTCCGTCAGTTTATGTCGCCGCTGCATTATTGCTCTAGTTAGAACCGACATGGAGGAAGTTCAATAGCCGGTTCCGGAACCACACGGAATTCCATTCATAATAATTGGTGGGCTTTGTGGTTTCACCGCCAATCAGTTTATCCAATGATCTGTCATAATTCAATAATCTATCATGTCAGGCAGCTACTATTGTTTAGCAATTATTGTCAGGCCTGTAAGCTAGCTGCCTGCTTAGGCTTATGTGGTTTCTGTTTCTTGTTTTCGTGATCTGATTGGAGTGCAAACAAAAGACTTAGGACACGAACGTGGGCCCAAAGTTCGACAGTCATTGCTGCTGATGGGTTTTCAAGTAGTGCGCACTTTGGCTGCATTAATGAAGCGATTCAGTTTGTTTTTTAACGAAATTAGTTGACTTCCTAGCAATGCAGCGATGATTTGAATACACAAACCCAAGCGAGCCATTAAAATAATGAACGCATTTCGCGAACAACTGGGTGGTCGAGCCGAGAATAGAAGCTGCGACGTAAACAAAATTAACTGGCCATCTGTAAGCTTCTCGCAGCAAATGTGAAATTATATTTTTGTCGCTCAGTCGAAGCGGTTTGTTGAACTTTTGTTATTTTTGCCAAAAAGCAAATTAAACAAAATGAAGCATAGAGAATATAAGGACAAAATAAATAATAGGGGAAACCGGTATTTGTAAGAGTCAACAAATCAGGTAAATCAGACATCTTTTTACATATATTTATATATACATTCTAAATTATAATTTTCGATGAGTTAGCTATGTATTTGTGTGTTTGGATCTGCAAGAGCTTGGCCAATATTTTTTGGCAAACAGTGATTCACACACTTGGGAGCTTGTGTAATCCCCATTTTGTCGTTTATGGCGATTCTGCCGATTCACGGTGATGAAGATGATGATGTCTCGGCCAGAATTTTAAGCCAAGCTATTTTTTTTTTTTGCCAAGTCGTCAGCTGCTGCTGCTACTTGGACTTTGGCCCAGCAAACATAGCAGTTGAAAATGTATTGTATTTGCTATTACATAAAGCCAGAGCCGGCTGGCTTTGGTCAGTTTGCGTAAGCCACAGCACCAACAGCAGCACCAGCAGCACCATCAGCATCATCTCTCGCATCTCTTGGCCAAATGCTGACCCTTTTTCGCTTTCTTTGGTTCACACGCGCGCTCGCCTCCAAATGCTTTCCCTAAAAAGCCACAAAAATGCTTCCGTCAGCGGCAAGTGCAAAGAGGCATTTGTAATTGTTGCCGCCGCTGCCGTTGCGCGTTACATTTTAACGCTTCATTATGCGCCATAAAGTCGTCGGGAGCTCCAGAGTCCGGAGTCCGCAGCTCCGGACAAATGAGTTAAATTTTACACTCAGTCCGCCACAGATACAGCCTCAGCTACAGCTACAGATACAGATGCAGGCGATGAGTTGACCATTCACCATTCATATCCATCATCATTGTTCGATGATGTCGATGTCGCCATCGAAGGCAGCAACGCCCCATCTAGGCCTGACCCACTGGCGGCCAGTGACTAAGCCGTCGTACTGGGAACCTTTTGGGAACCGGACAATGATTGTTTTTAGTGGCACTCGCTTGCGACAAATTGTCGCCCTAATGTGTTGCCGGTGACTGTGTAATAAGCGAGCCACTTTGGCTCTAATCGCTGCTTACTGGGTTGCCTGGCCAAGTTGGACCAGCAGCAGCAGCTGGACAAACTGGCTGTCAATCATTTGACAATCGGCTATTCGAATATCTCAATCGAGTCTA